CTCCTGCTCCTGCTCCTCCTGCTCCTCCTCCTCCTACTCTTCCTCCTGCTCCTCTTTCTGCTCCTCCTCCTCCTGCTCCTGCTCCTCCTGCTCCTCTTCCTGCTCCTCCTCCTCCTGCTCCTGCTCCTCCTGCTCCTCCTCCTCCTACTCTTCCTCCTGCTCCTCCTCCTACTCCTCCTGCTCCTGCTCCTCCTGCTCCTCTTCCTACTCCTCCTCCTCCTGCTCCTCCTACTCTTCCTCCTGCTCCTCTTGCTCCTCCTCCTCCTCCTGCTCCTACTCCTCCTGCTTTTGCTCCTACTCCTCCTCCTAAATGTCTGTCTTTATTGTTTGTCTATCTTCTTATCCGCGCCCTACTTTTTCAGTTGCTGCTTCTGCTTCACTTGCAATGAGTATGCAAAGCAACTTGAATGAAGATCTCATGAATTATTCCCACCTATCACTGCTAACAGTGGTGCCCGAACGCATCACCTCTTCAACCCAACAATGCTGCTTCTACCTCATTCAAGAATCAAGGTAGCAGAAACACATGCAAAAGACCATTTTAGCATTGATGAGTGATAAACAGTGGATGACTAAATGAGATTCGAGTTCCTCTTTAGCTAGGACTTTTCATTTACTAGTGAATAAGTATGAAATTATTTGTGTCTTTCAATAATTTCTTACCTGACAGTACTAGTAAACAGACTTTCAAACAAAGAAGAGACAGCATTGAGTATTTGCACAATCTACAGTCTCGAGAGTGCAAAAGAGGCGAAAAAATCCTCTGTTGATGCCTTTCAATGTTGAGACCCATGGAATAGATCTGAGTGGAGATGAGACAAAAGTGTCCAAATAAACGAGGGGACAGAAATTAGAATGGATGGTCGAGAGCACAGAAGGGAGGAAGTTATTGTAATACTTTGTTTATGTGATCACATGACGTTTGACGATCACTTTAGGATTTGTCTGGGTTGGCCTACGGGCCATGCCCAGGTCCATTTGTCCCGTCGTCTTCGCAATACATGTATCCCACTCCACTTAA